TCGTCAAAGAGCACAGCGCGTAGGACCGAATCCGCAACCGTGAATTTCTGTGCGAGCTGATCTTCTAATTTCCCGAATTCCAAACACCCCTGGTTGTCGCACAAGGTCTTGATGATGAATTTAGACAGAGTCGATGTCATTTTGCAATGACATTTGTTCCTTCAGCTAAGACTTCCAATGTAGCCCAGTTATGGCTCTGACCGAAATCTCCGGCTACGCTCGGTTACTGGGAAATGAAACTGAAACTTAAACACAGAAAGGTTTGTATTATGGTTGCCCTGCCCAGAAGGAAAGTTATCGCTACAAGTTTCTTTTTAAAAATACAAAAATAAATAGATATTGTCACGAGGGCGAGATTGCGTAACATCTAAAATCTGAAAATAAAGTGAATTTGATCTTAAATTAGTAGTAGTGGATTTTCATGTGGTTGCATTAAATCTAAATCAATCGTAAAAAAGAAATGTAACAAGTGTCACCTGGCAGGAACTTTGACAAGGTAGTGGGTGTGTGAGATTAACTCACTCTGGCAGATAGGACAGCAAAAGTCGCAACAAAGAGGCCGATGGTAGATATGGTTATTAGTGTGAGTAGGACGGAGCTCAAGAGCAGAATACGATACAAAATGAAGGAAAGGTGGCAAAAGCAATGGGAGGAGGAGAGGAAAGGGCGATGGCTGTACAACATCCAAAGGAAAGTGGGGGAAATGAGAAGTACAGGACGAAACAGGAGAGAGAGGAGACGATTATATCTCGACTGAGATTTGGACACACTGGCTTAAATAGCACATTATTTTTAATAGGTAAACACTGTACGGGGGAGTGTGACTGCAGTAGGGAACAGGAAACAGTAGAACATGTTTTATTGCATTGTCAGAAGTATAATATGGAAAGGAGACAACTGATCAAAAAGCTGGACGATATGAAAGTGAAGTTGGACTTGTTTGATTTATTTCACGTGAGCTCTTTAAGTGAAAGTTATCAGGCTGTATTTTGGTTTTTAAGGCAGACCCATTTGTTCGGGAGAATTTATTTATTTATTTATTTATTTATTTATTTATTTATTTATTTATTTATTTATTTATTTATTTATTGATTGATTGATTGATTGTCATTTCGATCCACACTCCACACCAGTTGGTGGCGGTAATGCACCATTTTGCTGTTTGCCAACCGCCAATAAACCCTATACAGAAGAAGAATATTAACTCACTCTGGTGCGAGTGGGTAATTTAGTAAATAAAGTTTTAATCAATCAAGTTGTAGATCGACTGCACCTCTGCTGTCCTTCTTTTTTATTCTTTTGGTTGATTTGTAATTTTGTTTTGGCTAGCCCGTCCAGCCGCAAAGGCTGTTATGAATGATTGAGAGTGAGTCTTGTAAAGGCGGACTAACCTCTCTTCTTGTTTTTTCGTTTATTTGATTGTGCCACTTCCCTTTACAAACCCAGGAACGTTTCCGCAGGTCCTTCCTCCCTGCAGCTGTCAGACTGTACAATCTGAACTGCTCCCAACAAACATAGATGTTTACATCAATGCTGTAACTGCAATAAGTTAGTTAATTAACCAATTCGCACT